CCTGAACTACTCCCCAACATTGAACTCATAAAGAAGAATTTGCCTCGATAGAAAAGAATTTCGGGGCTTAATTGATTGTATCCCTAAGGTTTTACTTGATTTTTCAAATGATGGATTATTTATCATGAATTCAAGTTGTACATCTTGGCAACCCAACCAAGACATAATGAGAGTGACCTAGGGTGAGGATCCTCCGCTCTGTTTTAATGAACACACAACACCTTTGCTGCTAAAAATTAACAGCAGATGATCTTCACCTGAGTGATCTAACCCTCATGGTAAATCAAGAAAAAATATATTAAAAAAAAAAAAATCTGAATCTGCCTAAATAATATGTTGTGGGTGAGGTTCAAGTTTGGAAACTAATTTTTCAAAATGGAGGCTTGGGCCAAATTACAGCCCATGTGCTTGAGGTGTCCGAAGAACCTGTAGGGGAATGTCTATGGTTTGAACCATGAAAGGTTATAGAGTTTAGTTTCGACGTGAATGATCTGTATTTGATCAAATTGAAAAAAAAATTAGTAGAGATATAGGTAAGTTCACTCGAACCCTCCTCATCGTTGAACCAAAAAAAAAAACAAAAAAGAAGAAGAATAAAGGTTATAGGGTTTCTCAGCTTGCCTAGGGGTGCGTTTAGTAATGTTTTTGTTTTTATATTTTTTTAATAAAAAAAAAAGAACTAAGTTTTGTTTATTTTGTGATACAAATTAAAAATGTAAAATATGTTTGATAGTCATTTATATTTTTGAAAATTTGTAAAAACAAAAATAAAAAACCAATTTAGTATTATATCAAAAATTCACCACTCGAACCTCACTAACAACCCAAACCCCACCACTCAAACCCCACTGGTCACCCAAAACCACCACCTAACCCCACCACTTTTTTTAAAAAAAACAAAAAAAAGAAAAAGAAAAAGAAATTTTATTTCATCAATTTAAAGAATTACAAGAATCAAAAGGATTGAAAGCCTAATATGGCTTTAATCTTTCAAAACAAATCCCAAAAATTACAAAGAATGATAATGGGGATATAGACTTTGACAAACCAAAGTCTTCTTCCTTCTTACTATTGGCAGGCCCAACTAAAAAAATCCATAACAAGTCTTTTTCCTCCTTACTACTAGCAGATCCAACCGAAACCCACAATCCAAACAAATCTATAACAAACACAAACAAATCTCCACTGACCACCCAAAACCACAACCCAACCCCACCACTGAAACCCACAGATCTATGTATATATATGCATATATAAATAGATCTGTGAATATAACAAACATAAATAGTTCAATAAAAAAAAAATTCCACAGAAGGGTTAGAGAGAGAAAGAGATCGATGGAGATGGAGATGGAGACGGAAAGAGTACAAAATTTGAAAAAACAGTGCTTCCATCACTAGAACTTCCTTTGTTGGAGTTTCGCCGTTCGCTTGAGCTTACTTCGCCTAGAGTGGCTTCAAAATAGAGAGCCAAATGAGAGAAGCACAAGAGAGAGACGAATGAGAGAAGTAAAAAAGGGGGAAAAAAGTTTTTTTATACTTGGAATAAAAAGAATAGCTTTTATACTGGTAATGGGGTTCAAAGACAAGACCTCATTAATTGAGGTTGAAGGACGTGTGTGTTTACATTTTTTTCCATGTTTTTGAAAGCACATATGAAGCACGGAAACTTTGTTGAGGTTGACGTACCCGTATCTGATACCGTATCAGATATGATACTCGTCGGATACTCGAAGATACGTATTGGATACACTTTTTACGTATCCAATAATAATTAAATATTATGATACTTCACGGATACATTTGTGGTCGAGTAACATATATAATTTTTGAGTTAAATTTTTAACATCTCTTTTCGAATTCACATATCATACAACACATTAACAAAAAATTCATATTACTCTAAAGGCACATGAGTGTTTATTAAGTATTATTTACAATTACATGTCAAAAGAGCATAAAATAAAGTTATTACATTATTATTTTAGCAAAAATTACTTCTAAATATTAGGTAATATTAGTTTTGATTCCTTTAATTAGTCACTTCACTTTGTGAATATACTACAACGATACGATATATATTTTCTTAAAACTAGAAAAAATTGATAATTTTCTTTATTGTATATTAAAGAACTATCGAAATATATAAATATTAAACTGGTTAAAAATAATAAAAATATTAAATATATTTTATTATAGCCGTATCTTGACCGTACCTATATTCTATTTTTTAAATTTTATCATATCGCGGTGCTTCGTAAGAAAACACATAAGTGTTATAAAAAACAAGGGTTGTTTACAAAACAGACATATTACATGGGCTTGATTGGGCCATTCCAATACAAGGGCCAGATGACCCAGCAGGCCCACATAATGTCTCATCGTCCCACCGTATTTCCTAATTCACGACGGAGAGTGTAATAATCAACCAGTAAAAGCCCGGCGCTGTCTGTGTTGTACAAAGTAAATTCTCTGCCGCGATATTTAGGGGCGTTTGAATAGTGGGTTAAAGGTGGGTTATCCATTAGTTGGATTGGATGAGACATATTGCCCCTCCTCTCTTCTCCGCAGCATCGAACCTCTCTCTTCTCCTGTCAACCAGAGCGCGAAGGAGCTGAGCTCGTCCAAGGCCTGTTGCACCGAGGCGAGGAAGAAGACGACAATCTAAGGTCCTCCAACTTTCTGCTTTGTGTGGTTGACGACATCGCTGGATTGAGGTAAGTTTCTCCGGTCTCTCTCTCTCTCTCTCTCTCGCATTGTGAAGGTGACGAAGCCCAAGCCCAGCGTTTCTGTTGGGATGGGTTTGGGTGCCTGAGTGGACCAATGAAGAAGAGATCTTCACCACGATGGTGGATAATTTTGAAACCCTAACCTCTGTTATGAAATTAACTCCCCTCTCTATCTCTCAGATCTGATGTGATGGTGGGTGATTTTGAAACCCTAATTCTCCTCTCTGTCTTTCAGATTTGAGTCATTTTTGTGGTGGTGGTGGTGGTCAATAAGTGAATTGGATTCCAAACAGTGGAGAATGAAACTTTGTTCACTTTTGTGAGGAATTGGATTCCTTATTTTATGCCTAATATTGGAGAGTTACGAGGTCAATTGTAAATCATACCCCCCAAGCTTAATCTTCTTGCCTAATATTGGAGAGTTACGAGATCAATTGTAAATCATACCCCAGCTTAATCTTCTTCTTCATTCACATACTGTCAAGGTCGGAGGGTTTTCTTAGCCCAATTGTGTGTGTCTATAATTTGAATTCATTTTATTAATACTAGGTTGTTAGTTATGTTTGATTAACAAGTGTATTTAACTGCTAGCTGAGTATGACTTTTACATTTTTTCATCTTCTCCTCTATGTTTTTCTGGTATATTGTTCAAGTGCTTGGTCGATTGCTACTCATAGTTTTTTCGTTTTGATGATTTATGTGTTGATTATTTTCTTACAAATATTCAAGCTACTCAGAGCCAACAATACTGTGTTTTGGTTTCATTTTGTTTTTGAGAATTGAAGTATGAATTGTGAATTGAATTATGTATCATGAATTGAATTATGAATGGAGAATTTGGAATTATGAATTATGAATGGTGAATTTGGAATTATGAATTGTGATTTATGAATTATGAAGTATGAATTGGGATTTGAGAATTATGAAGTATGAATTGGTTTTATGCATCTGTGTGTACATCTAGAATGTTGAGCATAATATGTTTGATTAATTGTGTAAATGATCTCTGAGTTATTAACTGGTACCATATGGCAGCTACCACATACAAAGTTTACTTACCATTGATGCCATGTAGAGCCTTCTTGGACTCTAACAAGCTCAGTTATTTTTCTTTGCATTCGGCTTGGGATTCTATTTCTATTAGAATGAGGAGTGAAGTTGATGAAGTGGCAGCAGCTATGTGGAAACAGGAGGCTCCACCTACAGCAAAACTTTTTGGGTGGAAAGCTTATGAATTTCCTTTTCCATTTCATGAATTTCATTTTCCATTTTATTACTTTGTGATCATGATGTACTTAGATTCATTCTTACGGGTAAGGTTTTATGTCTCCCCGATTAGGTGTAATATTTGATTTGGAATTAATAATATTTATCCTTGCATTGTAGAGGTTTTACTTTAAAGAGAGAGAGAGAGAGAGGCCCATGGGTAGAATGGTAAACTTCTACAAAAGAAATGATCTAATCCATGGGGCCCACGAAATTGCACTTTTGTTTTCCAGACAATGGTTTGGACCGGATATAATCCCTAACCCATCTAATTTAAGTGGCTGAGTGGGTTTAAGTTGGATAGGTTAGGATATAAAAAAGAAATCCTAGCCTATCCAAATCTATTATCCAAACCTAAGAAGCACGGATACGACACGACACGGACACGCCGACACGAAATTTTTCAAAAAAGTAGAACACGGACACGTTAGCGATACGTTAAATAATATGTATTTTATATATATATATATAAAATCATTTGATAAAATAAAAATATTATCATAATAATTTTTTAATTCATTATTTTCCTAATTCTAAAAATTTACATCAAGATGTCATTGCATGAAAAGTATAATATAAGATATATTAATACATATACAATATTAACATCCATAATTCAATAATCAATGACTTCTACAACTTTTACTTTAAAAATATTTTGTAATCAATAACTTCTACAATTTTGTAATCCCAATTTTGTAATTAATGACTTTTACTTCTATAATCAATGACTTCTATAATTTTGTAATCCCATTTTTTCTCACATTACTTTCATATTAAAGACTATTCTATTTGTATATAAGTTCGTATTCATATCCAAAATTATATTATATTCATGTCCTATGTTCAATGTAATTATTATAACTTCTTTTATATTATGATTGTGACTCATATTCCTTTAAAATTATAAAAATATCTCCTATTAAAAAATTGAAAATAAATCTCAAAACGTGTCTCCCAGTGTGTCCTGAACGTGTCGGCCAGGTGTCCTAAAAAAAATTTAATAATAAAAAAATCGGACACTCATTTTAACGTGTCCGTGTCCCAGACGTGTCTGACACCGACACTCTGCCCAAAATGAAGTGTCTGTGCTTCCTAGATCCAAACACACCCTTAATCCTCTCAACCAAAGAAAGCCCTAGATTTTCTCACAAATCTCTCTCACTCGCTCGCTCAAGATTTGTGATTGAAAGTAACAATTTCGTCGAACTGTAATCGCACTGTATTGATCTAGGGTTTCCTTTTATTCATAATTTTGTTTTTTTTCCACTTAAACTCTCGATTCAGCACTAGGAACCATAGGAAAAGAAATATTCTGCTCAGCTATATATGATATATCGTTGGGTTGGATGTGAGTGTCCAGTTCTTATTTAACGAAATCAATCAGCACAAATAAGCGAAATTTCAATTTCTTTTACACTGCATGTGCTTGAATTACTTGCAATTTGAGTCGTGAGATTTTCTGGAGTTTTTTCAGGTTTTTTGTTCATTTATGATGGGAACTTCTTCTAAATCTTTTATTTATGTTTACGCCTATATATGCATGCATACATACAACCATATCTGTCTGCGGGTGTGTCCATCTATAAGGAAAAGGGGCGTTAAGTTTCAGATATGGATTTTACAATGAGATTGGGGATTGAAAAAGCTTCTAAATTAGTTAGGCTATATGTATACTGCATTCTAAAACATAGTTTGTGCTTGGAATGATTTTTTCTGCAGGTAATTGTAGTGATATAGAAGCAAAACATATGGATGAAGAAGGAAGAGTGCACCCAGATTGCAGGAATGCATCAAACCCATACCATGAATGTAGTGAATATTGCTTCAAAATAATTGCCGAAGCCAAAAAGCAGATGAATAAAAACAAACCAGGTTAGTCTCATCATTGAGGATTAATCTATGTTGTGTGCCCATTACAAATATTGTGCTTAAGCTCAAACTTTTTTTTATGTAGTTTTAGGATCATAAGCATTATATTTTTAGTGTCTCATATTTTATATCCGGTTGACCTGATTTTTGAACCAGTGACCCTTTACCTTCTCCAATTTCTGGTTCAATGAATGGCCAGATAATCTGTCATGCAGGTGCGCATTTACAAATGCAACATTCTTTAATCACCTAACCCCTCCATATGTTATACCAGGAGTAATGCAGGCAAGCATTAGTGAAGTTGAGCCGAATTCTTCTGCTACTTCTGATCAGGGTGAAGTTCCGCATGATGAAATACATGATCTTGAAGATCACCCAAGTCCAAATGGGGATGATAACAATGATGGTGAGGACAAGGTGGAAGGAGACTCCACATCACTGACAGGGAGACAAAAAAAATTATTTGAGTTGAGGCTAAAGATGGTGAGTTTACATTAATTTGAATGTGAATTTCCTTTATTTCTCCTGTTATGTCTGTGAGAGCTAAGCTGAGGTCGTCAATTATTATTGTTTTTAGTTTTCATCTCTAGTCTCGTTTATGTCTCGTTACATGCAGAATGAGGCAAGAAAAGCCAATCAAACTGCCATGGTGGCAGAGAAGAAAAGAATGGAAGCTCCATCAGAGTCGAGGGGCATTTCTAAAGAAAAGTGGCTGGAGGAGAGGAAGAAAAAAATTGGCAAACTTTTAGATTCCAATGGTTTAGATATGACTAAAGCTTACATGCTAGATACACAAGATGTGGCAGAGACAAAGTATAAGAAATGGGAAAAGGAGCCTGCTCCAGTTGGTTGGGATGGTATAGCTCAGATGCTGTTAATTTATCTATGTAGAAACTGCCTGCTCCCTGATTTTTGTTTGGATATACCTACAAACATAGGCAAGGCAAAAATAAGTATATAGGCAAGGCTGTATCACTTATATGAACAGATCTGCATAATGTCAATTTGCATCTGGGAATGGTTCTTTTTCCCCCTTTCTTAAGACCGCATGAACTTTGAGGAACTGATCATATGACATTTTCACGTAAATTTGTAGTATCATTTCGTGGCTAACTTTCTTATTGCAGATGTAAATTGTAGGAAAATTCCTTTATACATGGTTAAGAAAACATCATAGTATGACTTTCTGGAAAGAAAAAAAAAACAGTTTAATTTGGTGTTTTATTAATTTTCAATATACATTAAATCACATAATTATGTCTATGTAGGCACTTTCATTCATATTTTTATTTTTCATGAGTCATGTCTGATTATATATAACCAATGCACCCTTTAGTCACACCCATATCTCCTACTATTAATGTCCTTACTGTTACCTCCCTGGCAGGACAAAACATGAATCTCTCCAATAAAATAGCTAATTTCTGAACTTGTGTTTGTAGCTATATAACATTACTGTAGCTGAAATTATACCTTTTAATTGTTTTTGGGACAAAACTTGGCTCTGAACTAGTTAGGAGGATGTTCCTCCTGCACAGGGATGTGTTTGAAACACTAGATGGCACATTTTGGATTAGATGTACCATGCAGACTCTTGCTGTAGCCACAAGGAAATGGTGACTTGCATTGGAGGGCCATTGTGGTAATGATGATGAGAGTCTAGGTGTGGTTGTTCTTATAGCAGTGGTGTTAGTTAGCTGATGATGGTATTGGCAGAAATATGGAGTATTTCGATGATCAATTGAGGAAGTCCTAGGTATTAGTTGCATAAGAGCTTTCCGAGAAGTGACAGTATTGATTGATGACATGCCAGGGTTGTTGGATGAAAACGGATCGTCTTGTGAAGGGAGCCTAACATATAGTCTGTTTGGACTGGGGAGACTACAAAATCTACCCACCGGTGTTCCATGGTTGGGTGGATTGCTTTCAGTTGGTATGTGGCAACAGTTAAAGAAATGAGGAAAAAAAATCAAAATCTGTAGTTAAGGATGTCACTTGAGGCCTACCTTTGTATGCATATATAACATGACATTTTGTGCTTCTAGTTATGTCATTGGTAGGAGGTTCCTTTCTTTCTACCCACTTTCAAACTAATGTTGAGCCTTTTACCCTTTCCCTTCTTGTTTGGTTATGCTTGCTTTTCTTTATAAAGCTTTATCTTTCTGATATTTTGGACTTCGGAAATGGTGTCCTTTTGTGGGGTGCAATTTTTTTTCCCTTTTTTGGGGGGTAGGGGGTGGATATTCTGATGGAGATATTAACGTTTGATAACTTCTGTCTACAGTTTTTAATCAGAAGACATTGTACAATGCATACAAAAAGCGGACAAAGAACATTGAGGTTGACCTTGAAGACTACAACAAATTGAAGGAAGCTGATTCAGAATTTTACCGAGAAGCTTCGAGTCTCCAGTATGGAAAAGTAGGCATTTTCGCTGTGATTAGTAGCTCAACTTAATTTTTAATTTAATGTGGTGGGATGTTCGAGAAACTATCAGAAGTTTAACTTATTTTATGTAATGGACAGGCACCAAAGATTTCAGAGGAGAAGATTGACAAGATGGTGAAGGAGCTCAAGGACAGGGACGAGAAGCGAAAGTCATTTAGTAGGAGGAGAAGGTTCCATGAGGAGAAGGATATTGACTCGATCAATGACCGCAATGAACATTTCAATAAGAAGATTGAGCGGGCATTTGGCAGGTACACATTGGAGATCAAGAACAACCTTGAGCGAGGAACTGCTTTGCCTGATTAAGGTACCAGTGCATTGTAATGCCTTATATTTTACTGCACGAATAATTGGTCAGTGATCCCTTAGAATGGGGTAAGCTCCTTTTGTTGCCTCTCCTTTGTTGGGGATATGATATTTTGTATGAGTGATTTTTCTTTTAATAACACTAGCAATGCATCACGCGTGTTGCACGTGTATAATTTTTATATAAAATATTAATAAAATAGAGAATTAAAAGATGTTAGGAGTAATTTAGAGATTTAAACACATAAAGATATGATGGTAATTTAGATATTTAAGTATTTAACTATAGACAGATAATGTGGTATTTAGAATTCTTTATAAGGGTAATATAGTGAATTAAAAGTTTTTTATGGTAAGGTACTTTTATTAGTAGTATATATATAAATATGAGTGAATTTTTTTAGATCACTTACTTTTTTTACAAGATTTTTGGGTAATATTTAAATGTACGGATTTCATATATATATACTTAATCTATTTACTCTCTAAATCTTGAGTTCATCCCATGCAAAGAGCATGGAATAGACTGATTCTTGGGCAGACTAATTCTGAGATTATTATTTTCCAAGCTGGTCTGCATAATTGGACTGTAATCCATGCTATGAAAATTCTTCTTGTGCCCATGATTTATGATGAATTTCGATGTAGTTGGACTTGCCAGTTGACCCAATCCTTAAATTACTGAATTGTCTTTTGTTCTTTAATAGGAGGCCAGATCCTGCTATAGTGTGGAGTTCAAGAGATCTCTATATTGTAAGTAACTTTTCTGGGCACTGATATATAAGTCGTTGGGCATTCTTTTCTGTTAATTTTCAGACAAAATAAAAAGCTGAGCCAGATGTACTATACAAACAAAGTATTTGAATCATACATAATGGTTATTATGATCTGATGGTTCAACATCTCTTGGCGTTTCTTGTTATACATAGTCGAGTCTGGGAGATTTTTAGTTGTTAGGGTATAATGCAATCATGGACTGATACTACTGCATATTCAGCTTCATGTTGCAGCTGCTACTGC